TTCTTGGTTACATTCAACATACGCTTTATAACAGCGCCAGAAAAAAAGTGGAAAAGAGACAAGACAGAAATAAGAGAAAGTGTAGTTTGGAGGGGGGAAAGCAGTCAATCTAAAAAACGATGAAAAATGGTTGAAAAATGATAATACGAAATTTTTATGTCTGACTGATTCGTCGACAGACAGTTTTTTTTTTTTTGCGCTGATCCGAACACTTAAAATGCCACATTAAACTTCGACTATTATACTGTACTCAGTTGATCAGTAAACACTGATACGAAAGTTGCTCAACAGAAAGTTAATAGTGAAAGAATTTCTGACTCTCCTAAAGCTTTTCCTTATTAGATTGGTATAAGAATTTTTTTTTTTTTGGCTTCAATGATACGTGATGAAAATGACAAGATCAGAGTGGTATCGCCTGTCCCATTATCGACAAATATTTACTGTGCTACGCATTACTGTAGAGGTTTTTTTCAGAGGACAAAAGTTGGAAAAATATATGAGCCAACTAGAATTTTGACATTTCCCCATGCCGCTTGTTTTTCTGTAGCTTTAGCGAGCATAGATACAACAGCAAACTTTAGACTATTGATTTTCTAAAGGACAAAAATGTTTATTTATTTAACACTTTTTTTGTGCCATGAAAGAGAAGGAGAAAAAAAAAAAGAAAAACAGGAAAAGGAATTGGACTGTGTATAGTGTGAAGAAGTTAACACAACTGAATGGATCCATCTGGTTACCACTAAACAAATTTTGTTTCTTTTTTTTTTTTTTACTTTTACTTACCACAATTGGTGGTAGGTGATGCTTTTTTTTTGTATTATTAGAAGGAATTGCAGGTATTTCCTAAAAGTTTCCCTACAAAAGTATGAAAAACGGCAAAAAAAAAGAGATCTGCTTACAGAGCGACGATAAATTATGGATTATGGATGTGAATTGTTCAATTAATTGATTAGAAACTCTGATAGTGACAGCTTAAAAAATTCCATTCACGTCATAGAGTATCATTGATAATAGAGGAAAAGTTTTTGAAGAAATTTATTGTAAACAGGAGAAAATTTGGATTTGTAATTGTTGTTGTCGATAGTTGTTGGTAGCAGTGGTGGTAATGGTGGTGATTACCACTGCTGTTGCCGTTGGTACTGCTATTGATATTGCAGTAGGTGCAATTAGGTGCAAAAAAAAA